ATCAGAGACAGTGCGATTGGCACAGGATAGAGCGGAGTTTAGGGTTGTTGTCCATAGGGTCGCTATGAGTCGCAAGTGACTCAACAGCACATAACAACATAATGAATCAGGCACACCTGATCCAGGCCACAGTCTTTGCAACTATTTGCTATGCATCAGAAAGCTGGTCAATGATTAGGGATGATAGAAGGTGAATATGCCTTTGGGCTGTGCTGCTGGAGAAGAGTATTGAATATACCATGGATGACTAGGAGAACAAACATGTTTGTCCTAGAGAGGATGAGACCAGGCTACTCCTTGGAAGCAAGGATTCTGAAGCTTTATCTGACATAGTTTGGACATGTTGTAAGGGGACCATTCCTTGGAGAGGGATGTTAGGCCTGAGAGGGTGGAAGGACAGAACAAGAGAGGAAGACCCTCCATGAGGTGGATTGGTTCAGTGACTGGGGTAATGGGGGAAGGTGTGTCAGAGACAATGAGATTGACACACGATAGAGCAGGTTTTAGGGCTGTACATAGGATCACTATGAGTCACAGGCAACTCGACAGCATGCAATAACAACATAATGAATACACTTAGTTCCAGCAGTCAGGAAATTAAAAGACATATTGCATTAGTAACACCTGCTGTCAAGGACCTCTTCAAAATACTAAAGAACAAATTACATCAATTTGAAGACTGAGGTGCAACTGATCTAAGCCATGATATTTTCTGTTACTTGCTATGCATCTGAACGTTGAACAATGAATAAGGATGACAGAAGAATTGATGTTTTAGCGTTGGGGTATTGGTGAACTGTACTAAATATCCCACGAAATGCCAAAATAATGTACAAATATGATTTGGGGAAAGTGAAGCCAGAGTACTCCTTAGAGGTAAGAATGGTAAAACATCTTCTCATATTTTTGGGGCATGTTGTTAAGAGAGGCTAATCCTTGGAGAAAGACATCATGCTTGGAAAGTTGGAGGGTTGGCAAAGAAAAGGAATATTCTTAAAGAGTTGGATTGCCACAGTGACTATGAATGTATATCTAGTATATCTGAGATTATGCGGATGGCATATACGACAGGGCATGGTTCATATCTGTTATTCATATGGTCATTTTGAATCATGTTCATTTCGATGGCACCTAACAACAACAGCAAATGCATTGTGGAGTAATACATTTAGGAAAATCTAGCTTTCTTCCCCCGCTCCTCATTAATAGTCTCACACTTAAACTCTCATCTCCTTGATTCTCAGTTCCACAAAGGCGGTCCTCTCATTGCTGTGCAGTTAGAGAATGAATATGGTTCCTATCATAAGGATAAAAAGTACATGCACTATATCAAACAGGTAAGTGCTTCTTTCGTTTTCCTCAATATTTACATACTTCTTTTATGTGGAGGAAACATTTTCTGAATGCCTATAGTTTGCATTTTACTATGGAATATGAAGATGAATAAGATTCAGTTTACTTTTTCTACATGTTTACAAACTAGAAAGGACTGAGAACTGCCTACACAAACTGTAAGGCAGTGAATGATGATTTTTTTTTCCCTCAGCCCTCTTTGTTTAGGGTTTGCATAATATATATTTTTATTCTTTAATTTTCAAATTTTCTTTATTAATAAGTATTAATCATATTAATATATTCAGAGTATATATCTTTTTAAAAAAATAATTTTAATGAGCATTTACAGAGATCTTGGATTTTCATTCATTCATTCAGAGTATCTATCTTATAAGAAACAGGTAATTAGATTTTCAAAATAAATCAATGTGACAATCTTTGTTTTTTAAATGTATTGTTTTGATTGTATATCTTTAATGTAGTTTGCATTTAAATCTACAATCTTATTTTCTTTTTGCCTTACTATTAAGGGTCCTTTTATTCACTTTCTTTGGTATCGACTGCATACTTTTTTAAGTTCTGTTAGTTTATTTACAAAATTAAAATACATTGTTTTCCAGAACAGATTCTTCCAATTTCCCTCACCCCCCACCAATCAAATTGTGCAGCTCCATGATTAACACACCCTGCACATTCTCATCCCTCTGCTTCCACCCTCCACCCCCCCTTGGATCCTTATATTCATTCTACAATAATGGTTTCATACAATATTTGTCCTTGTGGGACTGAGTTCACTCAGCAAAATGCTCTCCAGTCCCTCCCAAATTGTTGTTGTTATATGCCGTCGAGTCGCTTGCAACTCATAGCGACCCTATG